AGTATTTTGGCCTATTACTGACCCGAGTCCGCTTATTTGCGAAGACGGTCAAAGGATAGTACTTAGTTTTGAAGATTTCATTTGATGCCTTGTGGTTCTCTCTTGAAATAAACTCCGCCCTAGACTGACTATAGTCTTCAATTGGATGCTATTCACTTTACCAAAGCTGTTGTTGTGGCTTTGTCACCGACCCGAGACAACCAGTTTGCGGCGACGGCCAATAAATGACGTCTAGCTTCGATGTCTGTTTTGACGCGAGAGGTGACCTTTATATAATAACGTTTAGTTTTTTTTTGTTCCACTAGATGGCGCTATGTCATTTAAAATGCTCATGTGAGTAGTTAAGATATGCCTTTTTTGTTGTCTTTAATTTTTTAATTAATTGTTTTTTTTTTTACATACATATGCATATGCAACAGCATATTTACGTAATAGTTCTTCAAATAGTCATTTCTTGATTTTTGGGGAAGCTTTTAGTACTAAATTTTTGTCGTAGATGTAGAGCTTACACCACGCTGACGAGGGCCAACAGCCCGAAACGCGTACGTGGTTGGCATTTCTTGATTGGTCAAGAAATTGGGTTGTCTGATTATCACAGAACAAGTTAAATTAAAAATATAATTGATTTCTGTTCCACTAGATGGCGCTCTTCCATCTAAAATGATTATGTGAGCGTTCAGTATATGCCCTTTTTATTATATATATATATATATATGTGTGTGTGTGTGTGTGTACCGAAATGGGCACCTCCCCCTTCAAATTTGCATTCAAACAATACATTTTGTGTTTCATGCTAAGACAAAGCGCAAGGAGTTGATAAAAATGAGCCACAATACCACTTTTGGCAAATTCATATAAAAAGCCAAAAACTATTTTACTGCATATTTAAAGGGAGAGGTGCCTTTTTTGGTACATGAATATAATCTCCCCTTAATTTCATTCTACATATATTACGAGCCCATTTTGTATCCACATTAAGGTGTTTTACAGTCAGCACAAAATCATTTTACCAACTTCTTAAAGGATATGCATCTAATTTACATAGTTTGTTGGAGAGTTAGACAGCTCCTTGAGGAAAGTTTGGAATTAATTGTAACAAGAGAAGTCGTTTTGTCCGAGCTTTGCTTGTGAGACGTTCTGGCTAAGATGGAAATACGGGAAAATTGATTTGAAAAACACTCATGGACAAAGGAAGTTTCCTATTTTGATGTCGCCAGTCGTCTTTTTTTTTTTTGAAAGAAACAAGGGCAATTTTTGTTCACACTTGGTTATCTCGTGTGTCTTCAATAAAGATCACCGTGTATCAAATATCTTTCAGAGTTATTGTCTAAATCTCGATATACATGCTAAAAGATACAACTCCCTTAAGGTTTGTCCAAGTTGTGTTGAATGTATATATGTAATAATGTGTTGAGATCCTGTCGACTAGCTGTAATAATGTGTTGAGATCCTGTCGACTCTCTGTTATAATGCGTTGGAGTTCTGGTTGACTCTTGTAGAACCTCGTCGACTCTCGCTATAAGTTGTGGCAACCGAGGGTCAAACCTGTAGTAACCGCGAGGGACAGTCAGGGGTGGAGAGTTTTCCAGTGCCTCTCTGCACCTTGTAGGACCTTTAACAGTTCTCACAAAGTACAGGCAGTCGTGGTCGAGGCAGAGTGGAAAAGCTGGGGATGTCCACACACACAAAACGAAGCGACACAGTTGAAAGAAAGTTCCTTGAATAGATAAAAAGTCGAGCCAAAAGCAAAGATGGAGATCGAGAAGGTTTCTTACTGTTTTACATGGTCGATGAGTTGGTGACAACCGGCGACACGCTGATGGGGAACTCACTGGAACTCACTGCTGTTGCTAAGGCCGGTCTTATTTATACGACAGCTCTGACAAAGAGAATTGGGTCATGCACGTGTCGAGGGACACCGGACACTGGCGACAGTCTGTCGCTTCCAATCTATCTTTAGAAGTTACTTTGTAAATCTCTCAATCTTGCTTTTAACTTAGTTTTTAATCTATTATATAATTTTATTTATTCATCCTCAGTACATTACATTTGGTGATGCAAGGAGACATGTCAATTATGCATATAATTAGTTATAGTTTATAATTAGTTCTATATACAACATGACAATCTTGTTATAAATATTATAATATAGGGTTATTGGTTTAAATTATCATAGATGGGCCCCGTGAGTGAAAGGGTTTATCCGGGTTTAAGCGGGTAAAGCCTCTCTAACACAGGTAAGTAATTAAAATTTCTTTTAATTAATTAAAACTGTGAGGGTAAAGGGCTATAACAAGATATTTATTTGGCTATATCTGAAAATTGTAAAAATAAAACTTATGTTTAATTTAAAAGTTATGATATTCATTATAAAAGAGAACTGTAGGTAAAACCTTTGTTTGCTAAAAAAATAATGATGATGTTCTAAGAGATTGTTGGCGGGCGTTGGAAAGGGTTAGGGGTTGAAGAATATGCAATTGTAAGTGTTGCACAGACAATCAAATACTGAGATCCAGGTGCAAAGCGAGGATATAGACTTGTGCGTCTTCCTAGGCAATGTTTCACCTGCGATCCTGTATAAGGTTACAGTGCTTTGTCACAATTGTAGGGTTATTGGTTGAAAAGATGTTGAAGAAAAGAATTAATATGCTTGAAAGGGGTGGTAGAGCCATGCGATACGTAGAATTGTTGTAGCGACAGTAGGTGGTCTGACTTGACTTGAAATCAAAGGTTGATTGTGGTCCGCTAGTGCTGAAAAAAAAATGAAAATTGAAAAAAGTGAACGCTTTGTGCATGCGTTGGTGATGTGCTCTGCGGATGATTGAAATAAACTTTTGAAACGTGTTCAGACCAAAAGTCGAGACTTGTACTTCTGGGGAACGGTGTTTTCAAAGAGTTTGTTGAATTACGAAATCAAAAGAAAAATTGTCAAGAAGTGCTGTCGTTTCTAGCAATGGCTGAAATAGGTAGTGAGAAAGTATAGGGAATTAGTTAAAGA